TGAAACAGACACGGTCCTTGGAATTTTACATAAAAACAAACATGCAACTAAAATTTTCAAAAAGCGACATAACTGATTCGGCTGATCTGAAAATCAATTAATCAATGCACTATGATTATTTGACAAGGACGCATTGCTTTAATTTTCAAATCAGTAATTTAGCAACTAAAAATTTGGAAAAGTAAATACAGAAAAATCGATTAATCACCATATTTTATCTGAAATAAACAGCAGGAATAAATGGCCAATATTTTTAAATGTTTTCCACCGCTTTTGGAAACGCCAAAAATGAAAATCAAAGCTAAAATACAAACAGTGCAAGAGAAAGTTACACATCGTTTACATATTCAATGACAAGGTAATTATATCGAGCAAATTAATAATATTCAGTTTTGCTTGTTGGTTGGCTCTATAAATAAAGTCATCACAACAGACAAAGCAAGCATGCTTGTAGGACAGATCTATGGCGAAAATAGGAAATGTGCCTTTTAGTAGAAAATGCTTCTTTATCAAACATGGAAACATTTTTGAAGTACCAGGCCTATACCCAACTACCAGACTTGGCACCTTAATTCACCGGTATATCGGACCACACTACCCGTTTTCCAGGTGTGCGTCAGTACGCGCTGCGAAGTATCAGACGCGACACCGCTCTTTCCTAGTACGCAATGTGATAGCGATGATTCTCAGCTGGATTATAAAGTAGTGCATCTCATCTCAAAATGTTTTCGAGGTATAATAAGCCTCGGTCACAACCGGACGCACGAATTTCAGGATCGTACGTCTCCTGCGATTTTTGGGTGTTGCGGAGGCCGTGGAGGTCGTAGAGGTAGAGGAAAGTCTGCCTTGCGAGTCGCAAGGGCCACATGAGATTCCTTTCAAGCAGGGACGCTAATTGCAATGAGCGATGGCCGTGGACATTGTACTCATTTCTTGAGTTTGTCTTGCTTCCTGTGTACGTGGCACACACTCACCACTTACGAAGGGAATGCAACGCACGGCGAAAGTAGTGCCCTTTTGCGTCAGTTTTGCGTCACACTTGCCTCACACGTTTGTGGTGACGTACTGACGGCGTACGTCAGTTTTGCTTCCTGTTCTCCTCTTTTTTCTTCTTCCTCCTCCCTTTTTCCTACTATGTAAGCTTCTTTCTCTTGCCTTTTGGAGGCATATTAGAAACTAAATTGAGAAAAAAAATTGAAAATTGTTGAACACGTTACACAGTCGACGTTCATTGTAAAGACACGAGCGTGCGCCGTGAGCACGCCTTTTATACACCAGGCGTGGGGGTGACGCACGTGCGACGCATTTCCAGTGTGCTCTCGACTTTGTTCGTTAGTTGTGAGGGCGTGCGCCTTACTCAACACGCAAACTGCTTGCGACGTTCGGCTTGCACCACGAGCGTCTCTCTTGCTAACTCCGTGCGAGGGGAGCAGGTTACGCTTGCGGCCTCGCTGTTCGCAGGCTATTCGTAGAATCTTTTAGACATGTCCAACATCCTCCGTACGTGCTTACGGGCAGTCTGCGAACACCAAATTTCGTAAGAAGGACTTGCGTGGGACGTGAGATTCTGCGCAAAATTTGGACGCAAACAGCCTGTAAGAGCCCGTAGGGCCGGTTGTGACCGAGGCTATACTGTGAACTGCGTACTGACACACACCTTGAAAACGGGTAGTGTGGTCCTATCTACCGGTGAATTTGGGATAAATCGGTGCCGAGGCTGGTAGTTGCGGAGGGCTGAGTACTCTGCATTTTGAAGGCATATCATGGAACTTAAGCTGTTGTTAATCTATGTTGGAACTCGGAATTACCTAGGGAAAAAATCAACAAATATATAATTATTAATGACCGATAAACCTAATTAAGATACCCATTTAAATAATAATGTATATTTTAATATTAATGATTAAAATCATTATCATTTTATCATTATCATTTTATTTTCACAAATTTTGAATTATATATTTATTCATTTCATATTTTATATCACAGTATTATTTGTTACTTTGTTAAGTCTACCAAACATTTAAATTGATTAATATATATATATATTAAATTGATTATACTTAATATCTTTAACCTTCAATTATTTATTATTATTTTAATATCATTATTACTTAGATAATTTCACAGCCAATATATACACACTCATTGTAAATTAATTTATGTCGTTGTAAAAGCTTTGCATTTGTCTTCCAGTGCAGGGCCCGGCTTTATCAAGGCTGGATAGGCTATCCTATGGATAACACTATCCAAGGTATAAACCTCTTATCCTCTGGATAGTTATCCTCTGTATAAATCTGTGTTTCATAAAGGCTGGATAAACAGCATGATAGTTATCCAGTGGATAAGAATTTTATCCAATACTATATTTGGAAAAAGATATTCCCATAATGCAATTGGTTGCTATAAACATTGTAAAAGCCATGATAGTTGCTACAGGGTAACAACGGAAGTGATCTATACCATATTTGGAAAATATATTCCCACAATACCCCAGTTCTGTCGTTTGCTTCTCTGACTTGCAAGATGGAACCGGCTTTAGCAAGCACAAGACAGAGAAAGGCGAATTGGACCCAGGCAGAGACATCTCTTTTGATTGAATTGTGTGAAAATAATCACACAGTGATTAGAAACAAACACACTTCCACCTTGGACAACAAGGCCAAGGTGGAATCGTATAAGCCATTGCCACAGAAGTGTCATCAGTTGCTGTCTCCATGCGAAGTGCAGCAGAGTGCCGTGAAAAATGGAGGTACCTCGTTTCATCAGTGAAAAAGCCACACAGTGACCTTAAAAAGGCCACAAAGCAAACTGGAGGGGGTCCACCACCCCAGGAGCTAAGTTCATCTCAATCAAGCATTGTAAATACAAGGTTATCGCAAAGCTATAACCGACTTTATAATACACAGAGTTACTTTCGGGAGTCATCGGGGTATTTCGTATATACGCGTTTACAACACTATCAGTACGTGACCTCTGACCTACTATGATGATGCGGAACCAATCAGTAGCAAGTTTCCATAACACGTGACCAAAGGCCAGTCTCACTATTGCTGTCAGGAAGAACAGACATCAAATTTCATCGTTAGATTTTTATTCCGATTTCCCGAACGAATCACAAGGTAAGCACTCTAAATTTTACGCGTACTCTTATTATTACGTTTATCGTCTCTTGTTTCTGCTTACTTTCCGACTTATTGAAGTGATTTGATTAAAAAATAATCTGTTTTGTTTTCGATACCCTGTTGCTTCCCAGTCGCTACTGCAGCCAATATGGCGATTGCGAGGTTTGTCCTTCGTTTCGCTTGTATTTGAGTCTGTTATAACGTGTTCCATTTATTTTCATCTGCATGTGTTGTTTTTACTTTACCATCTAAGAGACCCGTAGCCTTTTCCCACCACCTTACGATAGTTTATTTTCCTGTTTTTCGGCATTTCTTCCTCTTTCCCAGGCTAAGACAGCCTACGCTCAGGCTACAGCTGCTCAAAGTTCCCCCGACACCTGGTATTACGCAACAAAGGCACCGCTCGCTCCCTTCTACCCACCCCTTTGCTGCAATAAAAGCATAACGGATTATCATCACACCATATAAAACTTCTGCTAATGACTCACTTTGCCTTTATCGTTTTACGCTGCATGTACATTTCAGTGACAACGTCAGTGCTATGGAGCACTACGACAGGAGACGGGTCTTACTCATGGGCCACAGCTTTTTAAAGCGCTTACAACAGGACTCATCCTTACCAAACAATTTTAGTATTGATGGTCTCACAACTGAATTTTATTGCTCAGGGGGAGCAACACTCACTAGTTTTTTATACGACCCCAATTTTTGGCCTCGGCTGCCCAACTTCGATGTAGTTTTTTGTCAACTGGGAGAAAATGACGTCAGCCCAGCAGTTACCTCACCAGCATCCATCGTTTCTGCCATCCTTCGAGCCATCCACAGGATCGTCGATTACAATCCTCATATTCAGATTTTTTGGGGTCAGTTGTTTTGCCGCTCTCAGTCTCCTGGTGGTCGAATTCCCACCCTGCTCTACCAGAAAGATGTTAATGATCAGGTTACAGCCATCAATAGCCTACTCCAGCAGAGACTGTCCACACACCCGCATGCCCAATTTTGGAGATGCCCTGGAGCGGTAGATGCCTGGCAGGACATACTTTCTCGGGATGGTGTCCACTTAAATTCTCGTGGCATGGTCAAATTTTGGAGAGCCATCCGAGGGGCAATACTTTATTCTCGGCCTACACCCCAGCAGACACGTAAGTTCACGGCTATGAGGCACGTTTTCATGATTATACACTCATTCAGTTTGGCCAATTTTCTCATATTAAGAATGTCGTTCCAAGTATGCATTACATGGATACATTTCTCATTCTTATGGGATTTCAAACATTCCCTTATTTCATATTAGAGACGCTAAAACTTACCTGTGGGCTTTACTCGTGCCCTTCAGGGCTGTTACACATATGTACTACTTTAGCCTTCCCAGGCTCAGATTTTGTGCACTCACGTTGGCCTTCCCAGGCTGTTCACATCATTTCATTTGCGTATCCTCTTTATTACGTGGGCGCCTTCCAAGGCCCCCTCATTTATTTTCTCCGTCACAATGTCATACTGCAATACAGAGCCCAACAGTGGCGATTTGCGCCTTACAAGGCCTTAATATTTCTCATGGGTCTTCCCCTATGACATGCGTTAGTTTCTTCGGNAAAAAAAAAAAAAAAAATGGGGAAAAAAAAAAAAAAAAAAAAAAAAAGGCTGGCAGGGCCTACCTCTGCTCAGGGAGTCACCTTATTATTTTCGATTTTCAGGTCATGAGTCAGAGTCACATACCCTCTCTCCCTCCCCCAGGAGAAGGCTCCTCCAGGGAACCAGTTCAGGTGGTACAAAGCGGGAGAGAACTCGTAGATCCCCCTACAATGCACAGTGCCGTCGCCGCACCTCCTGCTCTGACCGATGCGGCAACTATCAACACCACCCCACCTGCCAGGACCGCTAGCGCCGTTTCGTATTTGCCAGCCATGTCTCACTCAGTGAGCTCCCATCTTCCAAGCACCACCCTATCTACTGCCGCTGTTGGTGGACCGTCCAACCTTTCGGCTACCACTTTTCCCAACCTGCCAAACTTCTCTGGTTACTTGGGTAACCCACCACCAACCAACACTCTCACAGCACCATCTGTGGGTTACATGGGTAACCCCTTACCCCCTGGTACTTTCTATTCGGGTTACATGGGTAACCCCTCCCATGCTGCACCCTCCACGTATACTCAAGGACTGCCGCCATATGGGCACATGGGTGTCCATCCTCCCTCTATGCCACAGTCATCCATGGGTCACATGAGTAACCCAGCTTTGCATGGTTTCCCTCCACAGCCTATCCCAGGACATGGAATGCCAGCTGCCTACAGTTTCTCGGCTGTAACTGCTCCTTCAGGTAATGTCTCTACTCCGCTTGACCAACACGTTCCACGCGCCACAAAAGTAAAGATCTGGAACAGGGAGCCAATTTCCATTAAAAGTCTTATCCCCCCTACCTCCAACACCTTGTCCAGAGCAGAAAAGCAGGACGAGGAGCACTTCGTTCACAGGAAACAATTTGATGAGGATGGCCAGTTCTCCATTGTCATGGCACCTGCTAGTAAAAAGACTGATGCCATTTCACCTAATCAGTGGCAGTGTGCTTTTCAAATATTTTCGGCCATATACCTCCAACAATACCCCCTTCAGGCTGTTCCTTTGCTACAGTATGCTAACAGAATTGGAGAAATGCAGGCCAATCGTCACGCCAACTGGCGTCTTTATGATGAAAAATTCCGGGCCACACAGACTGACCCCAATTTTCGTTGGGAAGATCCTAATGGCGTGCTTCTGGCGGAATTGACCTATATCGCAAGACCCCCCTCTCAGGACATGGCCTCAACTTCCCACAGGGGTATCTGCAACAGATGGAATGAGGGGCAGCAGTGTGACGCCTCCACCTGCCGCTTTTCCCATCAGTGCTCAAGGTGCAGAGGTTCACATCCCAGTATCTCTTGCTTTCGCAATCGACAGAAATCCTCCTTTCGCCCTTACAACCGAAACCCCTATTCCAAAGGGCTTCGGCAACAACGTAAGTTCTAGTGAAGGGGCCTCTCCAATCACTCGTTTCATCCAGGAAAACCGGGAACACCAGTCGATTGACACTATCATTGTTACGCCGGTGGATTACATCAGATTATCCCACTACTTACAGGATTATGACTCCTCTCTCTCATCATTTTTGATTTCTGGTTTTAGGGACGGATTTACCATTCCTTTTCATGGCCATCTTCCGCTTCAGTCCCATCAAAACCTGGCTTCGGCGAAGGACTGGCCCCAACAGCTTCAGGACAAAATTAATTCAGAACTCCAAGCACGACGTTTATCAGGTCCACATTTAACCTCGCCTTATCTACATTTTACAGTCTCCCCAGTAGGAATAGTGCCAAAAGCATCCCCTGGAAAATTTCGCTTCATCCACCACTTATCTCACCCAGCGGGATTTTCAGTCAATGATGGCATTGACGAACGATTTTCTTCTGTTCGGTATGCATCTGTTGCTGATGCCATTAACTTAATTCAACAAGCAGGACGGGGCTCATACCTTTGTAAAACAGACATTGAAAATGCTTTTCGCATTATCCCAATCCATCCAGATTATCGCTTCCTCCTGGGCTTCCAGTATCAGGGTAATCTATATTTTGACCGAACACTACCCATGGGACTGTCATGCTCTTGCAATATCTTTGAGACATTTTCCTCCGCTCTACAATGGATCGCTACCTCGCTGTTGGGTATTCCATACATGACACATTTGTTGGATGATTTCTTGATCATCAGTCCATCCGAGGACAGTTGCACACATGCTCTCCAACGTTTCCTACTTGCCTGTTCTGATATGGGAATTCCTATATCAAAGGAGAAGACCACCACTCCAGCTACTACTGTCACGTTCGCGGGCATAGAGCTTGATACTGTCCTCCAAGAAGCTAGACTGCCACAGGACAAAATTCAGAAATGCCTAAGTCTCATCAACAGTTATTCGCAGCGCAAGAAAATAACTCTCAAGGACATGCAATCCATAGTAGGTCTTTTAAATTTTTGTTGCTATGTAATTCCAGCAGGGCGTCCATATTTGCGACGCTTAATTGATCTTACCATGGGTGTTTCCAAAGCACATCATCATATACGTCTTAATAAGGAGGTTCGAGCGGATTTGAATATGTGGCGGACATTTCTTCTCTCTTTCAATGGCAGGGGCTTCTTCCATGAGGAAGAGTGGACCAACCCCAATGTATTACACCTCTACACTGATGCATCTAGTACGAAGGGATTTGGCGCATGTTTTGGCAATTTATGGTTTTACGGACATTGGCCTCCGGAGGCTGCCACTTTGCATATCACGATCTTGGAGTGTTATCCTATTGTTGCTGCTTTTTTGCTCTGGCAGGACCACTTCCGGGATAAGAAAGTGCTTATACATTCTGACAATGGGGCTCTCATTTTTATTCTAAACAAATGTACAACTAAAGATCCAATTTTGCTTAAACTTTTACGCAAACTAATTCTCACATGTCTACAAAAGAATATTCTACACAAAGCGGAACACATACCAGGAGAACACAATACCGCCGCTGATTCCCTATCTCGTTTCGATTTCCAGACGTTCCGGCGCAGTATCCCCACAGCACTGCCCCAGCCAGAACACCTGCCCAGGTGTCTCATGCCAGCCACCTTAATCTTCGACTAAGACAGACACTGCAGTCTGCACTGACACTCAACACCAATAGGACGTATCAGCAGATCGAACGACACCTTCAAGAGTTCTCCCACCTTACAGGACTATGTGCCTTTCCTGCAGACGCCACTGTAACTGCTTTGTTCACCCAACATTTAGCCGAGAAGTATAGGGCATCGTCAATCAGAACTTACATGGCTGCACTAAGCTACAAGTATAAAATGGACAGTTTACCAGACCCCACCAAATCTTTCATTGTTCAACAAACCTTGAAGGGTCTAGTGAGACAGATGCCTTCTCAGGATACAAGATTACCCATTACAGTGCCCATCCTCCATACCTTACTACAAAACCTGAGATACTGCCTTCCAGATTCCTATGAAATTTTAATGTATCAAGCGATGTTCACAACAGCCTTTTTTGGCCTCCTACGCGTGAGTGAAATTACAACGGATGCGACCACTAATCACACCCTGAAAGTGGAAAACATTGACTGGGATTACTCAAGCTCTGCATTTACACTCCGGTTTACTTCCTTCAAACATTCTGCGCCATCTTCCATTCATAGAGTGCGGTTAGTTGCACAGCCGGTTATTTGTCCGGTGATTTCTTTGACCAACTTCCTACACATACGGCCGACAGTATCTAATGCACCCTTGTTCATACACCGCGACGGCAGTCCTGTTACACGGTCGCAATTCACCAGAACCTTGGATGCATGCCTGCTTCAATCAGGCCTGAACAGTGCTCGCATACGGTCACACAGTTTCCGCATTGGNGGGCGTCCATATTTGCGACGCTTAATTGATCTTACCATGGGTGTTTCCAAAGCACATCATCATATACGTCTTAATAAGGAGGTTCGAGCGGATTTGAATATGTGGCGGACATTCCTTCTCTCTTTCAATGGCAGGGGCTTCTTCCATGAGGAAGAGTGGACCAACCCCAATGTATTACACCTCTACACTGATGCATCTAGTACGAAGGGATTTGGCGCCTGTTTTGGCAATTTATGGTTTTACGGACATTGGCCTCCGGAGGCTGCCTCTTTGCATATCACGATCTTGGAGTGTTATCCTATTGTTGCTGCTTTTTTGCTCTGGCAGGACCACTTCCGGGATAAGAAAGTGCTTATACATTCTGACAATGGGGCTCTCATTTTTATTCTAAACAAATGTAAAACCAAAGATCCAATTTTGCTTAAACTTTTACGCAAACTAATTCTCATATGTCTACAAAAGAATATTCTACACAAAGCGGAACACATACCAGGAGAACACAATACCGCCGCTGATTCCCTATCTCGTTTCGATTTCCAGACGTTCCGGCGCAGTATCCCCACAGCACTGCCCCAGCCAGAACACCTGCCCAGGTGTCTCATGCCGGCCACCTTAATCTTCGACTAAGACAGACACTGCAGTCTGCACTGACACTCAACACCAATAGGACGTATCAGCAGATCGAACGACACCTTCAAGAGTTCTCCCACCTTACAGGACTATGTGCCTTTCCTGCAGACGCCACTGTAACTGCTTTGTTCACCCAACATTTAGCTGAGAAGTATAGGGCATCGTCAATCAGAACTTACATGGCTGCACTAAGCTACAAGTATAAAATGGACAGTTTACCAGACCCCACCAAATCTTTCATTGTTCAACAAACCTTGAAGGGTCTAGTGAGACAGATGCCTTCTCAGGATACAAGATTACCCATTACAGTGCCCATCCTCCATACCTTACTACAAAACCTGAGATACTGCCTTCCAGATTCCTATGAAATTATAATGTATCAAGCGATGTTCACAACAGCCTTTTTTGGCCTACTACGCGTGAGTGAAATTACAACGGATGCGACCACTAATCACACCCTGAAAGTGGAAAACATTGACTGGGATTACTCAAGCTCTGCATTTACACTCCGGTTTACTTCCTTCAAACATTCTGCGCCATCTTCCATTCATAGAGTGCGGTTAGTTGCACAGCCGGTTATTTGTCCGGTGATTTCTTTGACCAACTTCCTACACATACGGCCGACAATATCTAATGCACCCTTGTTCATACACCGCGACGGCAGTCCTGTTACACGGTCGCAATTCACCAGAACCTTGGATGCATGCCTGCTTCATTCAGGCCTGAACAGTGCTCGCATACGGTCACACAGTTTCCGCATTGGGGGAGCGACTTTGGCAGCGCAGCGTGGACTGTCTGATCAACAAATTCGTTCACTTGGCCGATGGCACTCCAATGCGTTCCTTAAGTATATTCGGATGGCTTAATCTCGGTGTCTACTTTTAGCACTTGTTCATAACATTATACGGGCTTATACCAGCCCCTTGGTGCATATACATCAACAACTTATAATTTGCCCTTACCAGGGCACATACGACATTCATATCACATTATAATTTTTTTTTTTTTGCCAAGTACGCTTCGTATACTATTTTGACATATGCCACTTACTGGCTCATATTTGTTTGTGCGTTTGGGCGCACATTGTGGGCTGTCAGACCTATGACTTCTTTCACTTGGCTGCTGGGACTGCAATGCCTTCCATAGTATATTTAAATGATTTGTTCTCCGTTCCTACCTACTGTACTTTTTTCATGTTCCTAACCAGCACAGTATGAGGGCTAATTGCAGCAACTTTTTACATGTACCTTACTCCGTATACCTTGTCCTTCCCAGGCCTCTTCTACCTGCATGTCTCACATAAGAGGTACTTGACAGACAAGCAGTACATGAAAGACTAAATACATGTGGACTATATTTCGTTCACTTGAGTGCTGTTTCACGGAATATATAAAAACACGCATATACGTGTGCCATATATTACATATGTCTTTTGTTTTTTGTTCACCACTCCCACCCTCACCTGCCCTTGGTCATTTTTTGGGTGGGGGAAAAAACCTAGGTTTTCAGCGGAAACCCGGTTTTTTGTGGCGCATTTGCACCCCCACCTTTAATAATTACATGTTTCATTTTAGTTAATGTTAATTGTGCCATTATAATATATTAGCCTTATTGCATAATTATTTTTTAAATTCCATTTCAAAACATCACGGTGACTCCCTTCGCCACATAAATTTTTCCTGTAATTATTAAACAGAGCAAAAAATGTCCCTATTTCTGTAGTATTATAAATACAAGGTTATCGCAAAGCTATAACCGACTTTATAATACACAGAGNCAATGTTCACAACAGCCTTTTTTGGCCTACTACGCGTGAGTGAAATTACAACGGATGCGACCACTAATCACACCCTGAAAGTGGAAAACATTGACTGGGATTACTCAAGCTCTGCATTTACACTCCGGTTTACTTCCTTCAAACATTCTGCGCCATCTTCCATTCATAGAGTGCGGTTAGTTGCACAGCCGGTTATTTGTCCGGTGATTTCTTTGACCAACTTCCTACACATACGGCCGACAGTATCTAATGCACCTTTGTTCATACACCGCGACGGCAGCCCTGTTACACGGTCGCAATTCACCAGAACTTTGGATGCATGCCTGCTTCAATCAGGCCTGAACAGTGCTCGCATACGGTCACACAGTTTCCGCATTGGGGGAGCGACTTTGGCAGCGCAGCGTGGACTGTCTGATCAACAAATTTGTTCACTTGGTCGATGGCACTCCAATGCGTTCCTTAAGTATATTCGGATGGCTTAATCTTGGTGTCTACTTTTAGCACTTGTTCATAACATTATATGGGCTTATACCAGCCCCTTGGTGCATATACATCAACAACTTATAATTTGCCCTTACCAGGGCACATATGACATTCATGTCATATTACAAATTTTTTTGCCAAGTACGCTTCGTATACTATTTTGACATATGCCACTTACTGGCTCATATTTGTTTGTGCGTTTGGGCGCACATTGTGGACTGTCAGACCTATGACTTCTTTCACTTGGCTACTGGGACTGCAATGCCTTCCATAGTATATTTATATGATTTGTTCTCCGTTCCTACCTACTGTACTTTTTTCATGTTCCTAACCAGCACAGTATGAGGGCTAATTGCAGCAACTTTTTACATGCACCTTACTCCGTATACCTTGCCCTTCCCAGGCCTCTTCTACCTGCATGTCTCACGTAAGAGGTACTTGACAGACAAGCAGTACATGTAAGACTAAATATATGTGGACTATTTTTTGTTCACTTGCGTGCTGTTTCACGGAATTCATAAAAACACGCATATACGTGTGCCATATATTACATACGTCTTTTGTTTTTTGTTCACCACTCCCACCCTCACCTGCCCTTGGTCATTTTTTGGGTGGGGGAAAAAACCTAGGTTTTCAGCGGAAACCCGGTTTTTTGTGGCGCATTTGCACCCCCACCTTCAATAATTACATGTTTCATTTAGTTAATGTTAATTGTGCCATTATAATATATTAGCCTTATTGCATAATTATTTTTTAAATTCCATTTCAAAACATCACGGTGACTCCCTTCGCCACATAAGTTTTCCTGTAATTATTAAACAGAGCAAAAAATGTCCCTATTTCTGTAGTATTATAAATACAAGGTTATCGCAAAGCTATAACCGACTTTATAATACACAGAATTACTTTCGGGAGTCATCGGGGTATTTCGTATATACGCGATTACAACACTATCAGTACGTGACCTCTGACCCACTATGATGATGCGGAACCAATCAGTAGCAAGTTTCCATAACACGTGACCAAAGGCCAGTCTCACTATTGCTGTCAGGAAGAACAGACATCAAATTTCATCGTTAGATTTTTATTCCGATTTCCCGAACGAATCACAAGGTAAGCACTCTAAATTTTACGCGTACTCTTATTATTACGTTTATCGTCTCTTGTTTCTGCTTCCCTTCTCTTTGTTTACTTTCCTTTTCTTTCCACCTCCCACCCTACAGCTTTTCCTACGTGGGGCGCATTTGCACCCCCACCTTTAATAATTACATGTTTCATTTTAGTTAATGTTAATTGTGCCATTATAATATATTAGCCTTATTGCATAATTATTTTTTAAATTCCATTTCAAAACATCACGGTGACACCCTTCGCCACATAAGTTTTCCTGTAATTATTAAACAGAGCAAAAAATGTCCCTATTTCTGTAGTATTATAAATAGACAGACCTTATATTGTTTACATTGTAGATGTACGAGCTTCTCCAAGCAGGCTATCTGGGGCAACATTTAAAGGGCAATCACCAAGAAAAAGTAGGATGTAAGGGAGCCTCTACACTTTCAGCTGTGGCTTAAATTTCCGAATTTTGAATGACAATATTATTTATTAACCCTACACGCGGGATATGTTCGATACCAGGTACATTTGAGTTGAGCGTTAACATCCGCAGTCATATCGCATCTCAACTACACACAATAAAATGAACTAAAAAAGATGACAACTGTTTGACAACTGTTTGGCATGTACTGATCTTTATTAAAAACACAATCACTCCATTCCAATACTTTTAAGTTTTAAAAAAATATCATCCACGATCTTATTGCTAAAGAAACAGTACTGGGGATTTTGGCAAGAAAAATATAATTCACGATTTTTTTGTGTGTCCCCAATTTTTTTTTAAATGACCATTCATTACTCTAACATAACCTTAATAAAATTTTGCTTACATGTACATTTAGAGACTTCTTTTTGTCTTTACTGGACTTTTGTCGCCTGGTTGATAACATTCACTCACTCTTTTTTTTTTCCACTTCACATAAAATTGCCATATTAAAGTAGTAGTACTTTCGTTCCCTATCTAGTATACTGCCTCTTTACTGTAACTTGAATAGAAAATAGAGGGAATTGTCTAATACCACAAAATTAAGTAGATTAATATGATGAGTCGTTATCCCTATACGTAAAAACCATCACACCGGTATATAATAACACATAAAAAATCATATTTCCGCTTATCATGGATGACGTCAAGGTTGTTTCAGCTAGTCGCAAGGCAATACAAGCTGGAACTGGCACATCCAACATATAGCTAACGTGTCAGAAAACTTATATACGCAGACAAACACAACGTCTCGAGTTGTTTGTTTAATAAAGGCTCATTTTAGGCTCTAGGCTTGTCGTGGATACAAAATAGCTGCGCAACAGATGGTTTGGGCTACACAAAACTACAAAAAAAAAAAAAAAAAAAAAGCATTAAGCATGTGGCAAAAAACGGTTATTTCTACAATTACATCGATTTTATGCACCCTGAGCTTCAGAGATAACTTGACACTAACCTCTTCACTATAGCCTATCTTCATCGTTTCAAGTTACCTCTGACCACATTCGATTGCCTCCGCCGCCCGCCAATCAAATTTAAAGCCCGCACTCAATGACTCATTGAACGATCTAGCCAATGAACGCGAACGAGTCAAAGCGCGCTTTGTTCAAATCCGGACCAATCAAAGATAAGGCTGAA